TTTCTTTCTTTCTTTCTTTCTTTCTTTCTTTCTTTCTTTCTTTCTTTTTTTTTTCTTTTTTCTTTTTGAGGCAAACAGGGTTAAGTGATTTGCCACAGTTAGTAAGTGTCTGAGGCAATATTTGAACTCAGGTCCTATTAACTCCAGGACCAGTGCTCAACTTCAGATGAATTGTAAAGGATGGGAAAGACTTAAAAAGAAACAGAAGATTCAAGACAACATTCTAGGTTTACGGACAGGTTTAGGGACAATGAAGACACTGATCTGATTGAAGCAGAATATTCATGTTAGGTAAGTGGTACATGAGTTTGAAGCACAGATTTGCCCTTTAAGAGTAAGCTGTCCAATAGGGGAGCTATGGCCAAAGAATCACAAGATCATTTGAGTCAAGCTGCAGTGACCCCATATTGTCTAGCGTAGATCTATACCCACAAAACAAGTCGTACAAACTCCCATGATTCTAGAACACTAGGTATTTATCACTGCTCCTTGTCAAATAATTAGGATTCTTTAGTCTGGAAGGTAAACATTGAAAAGGGAACAGTTTAATTAAACCTATAAAAGCAGTATGGATAAGGTAAATATGGATTTGTTTGCCAGATTCTCAATGTTAGGATTCTATTCAATTAAATTTAGTTCACCAAATATTTAGTGAGTTCTTTCAGAGAGGTTTTGTTGTTCTAAGTGCTGGGATAGATACAAAATTTAGATAAAAATCACTTAACTTCTCCCAACCTCAGTTTCCTCAACTATAAAATGAGAGGATTGGATATGATGGCCTCTAAGCTCCCATCCATCACGAAATCACGATCCCATATGACATGAATCTTACCTTTGTGGAACTCATATACAATTAGGAGAACAAGATAACATTCACAAATAACTATAATATACAATATTACAAGGGGCATTATGGCATGGTTGATAGAGAATTCTACTCTTCCAGAGTCAGGAAGACCTGGGTTCAAGTCTTGCCTCTGACATATACTTCTCGGTGAGAGAGAGAGAGAGAGAGAGAGAGAGAGAGAGAGAGAGAGAGAGAG